AACCGACATCGATAGTTTTCAAAAACTATCGATAGTGGCGACAGTTTTCAACTATCGATACTATCGATATTACTATCGATAGTATCCCAGCTCTATGCTAAGCATCGATATTTTCGTTGTATCGATATACTTTTAGCGTAACTACCTGCTGATTGGTGCAAAAGTGCTGTTTTGTTTTCGTCGAAAATTAAATATTACCATTTTATTTTTAGCGTGCATTCAGCCTACATTCTCGAGCTCTAATGAACGAATCTGATAGTGAAGATTTTGTTACTGTTAAGTTACTATTTTTCGCTAAAGCACGAGATCTCGCTGGTGTAGATTCCACTTCGTTGGTTCTGAAACGTCGAATATCTGCATCTGAAATTTCGGAACAGATCTGCTTAAACTACAATTTAGATTCTATTAAAAATAATTTTATAATTGCAATCAATGAGGCATATTGTGAAAATTTGTTGGAAAGTTTAGAACTGCGCGAAGGTGACGAAATCGCAATTATCCCACCCATTAGTGGGGGCTAGCAGCACAATGGCAAATTTTTTACTGATAACCCGAGAGCCTCTTGACGTGGGTGCGATAAGCACTTTGGTATCGCATGAGAAGTGTGGTGCGATTTCGTTATTTGTAGGAACTACTCGGAATTCTTTTGAAGGTAAAACGGTAAGTACTTGAAAATAAATTCAACTTCTGTGCGTTTGTATTAGCCAAGAATTTTCCACAGGTATGTTCGCTGGAGTATGAAGCTTATGAACCAATGGCTTATAAAGAACTACAAAATATATGTGCAGAACTACGTTCACGTTGGCAGGATATAATGAATATTGCAATGTACCATCGTCTCGGTTTAGTTGCGCCCAAAGAAGCAAGTGTCGTTGTAGCAATCTCATCGCCTCATAGACAGGCTTCTTTAGACGCAGTAGCATATGCAATTGAACAATTAAAGAAAAAAGTGCCCATTTGGAAAAAGGAAATGTATGACAATGGAGATTCAGATTGGAAGGAAAATAAAGAGTGTCAGTGGGTTGAGTGACTTATGTGTAATGTTAAAGTTTTATTTTTATTTGAAGATAATAAGCCTTTCGCAAACACTTCAAGATTTACAGCAATTGTCAGGATTTTGCAGGAAGCTGTTGCCGTACGCTACATAGTTGTACATAAGCTACCTAATTTCACACAAGAAAGCAGTTTTACCCGTAAAACCAGTAAAACTCGCATGTCTTTGGGTATCTATGAAAGTTTTTTCTAATAGCGGGCGCACCTCGGAAGGCAAAGGCAAGCCTCCGAGTGTATTTCTGCTTATAATAACAAGTAATTTTTAACAAAAAAAAAACCGACTTCAACCCCCATATAAAAAAAAAATATATATATATATCTCATGATCCACTGATCGGATCTCAACCAGATTAGTATGGGACCACCTCTGAGACACTACCTTTCCGATGCAAAAAGAATTATCGAAAAAAAAAATAAAAAAATAAAAAATGTTCCGACGAACTGATAACCTCCTCCTTTTTTAGAAGTCGGTTAAAAATACAATCGCCGTTCGGAGTCGACGTAAAGCTGTAGGTCCCTTCCCTTTGTGTAATAACATGCACGCCATAAATCGGAGCGGAAGCTCGGCTAAACACTAACATATGTTGGCATTGGGGATGTTTCAAATGTCTATTTTTCATATTCGCGAATGCGAATGCGAATTTTCGGAATGCGCATGTGCGAATGTTGGGAATAACATTAAAAAAGCTATACAGCCCAATTCTTAATACTCCCGGGGAATTTGTCTCTCCCGAAAAAGAAATCCTCCAATAATTAACTACCAGGGAAATTTTCCCCGAAAACTTGGGAGGGGGAAATTCAAACCTCGAAGAAGTTGTTTGACACTTTTTTGAAAGCTCAACTCCGCCATTTAATATAAAAAGTCCTCAGGGAATTTTTATTCATGATAGGAGGAAAGGGAAAAGAGAGAAAACTCCCAGGGAGTTTCTGTTCAGAATCGGCCTGATAATCAACT